CTTGGACTCCTGTAGCAGGTGACTGGGAGCTTTAGGTGATCCCACCAGTCCTCAAGCCCCTGCTGCAGATTGATAAAAGTGCCTATTTAAGGGGTAGGGCTGTTTCGAGGCTCACAAATCTGCCAGTTCACAGCTGAAGCAGTTAAGTTAAACTTCAGATGTTTGCCCTGTTATACTGTGGTAGTGAGGGCTAATGCTGTTGCGATGGGTCCCCACAAGTCTATACAGGGGTGTAAGGCACTCAGAGTCTGCGGACCCCTTATACCTGTGCCTAGCAAAGGAGCTGTGCTGACCCTGCGTTCCTGGCTTAGGGGAGCCAGTAGCTTATTTGTTCCCTCTCCAAGGCCAGGAGGATGGGTCAGGGCACCTTTTGGGATCTACTTCTGGCCCAACGGACTCCCGGTGCAGAGCGCGGAGGGAGGAGGTAAAAGGGGGAGAGGTTTTTCTCAAATCGGCTTTTTTTTTTTTTTTAATCCCCGTGAAAGGCCACACACGTGTACTTATCTTAGCCACTTGGGAGCTGCTTTTCACTGGTTCGAAGTGTCCAAGCAGAATCTCTGCTGCCGGGTCTCTCTCAATGTGGAAACTGCTTCCTGAGCACGTGCGCAGCACAGCTGTTTGCCTGCTTCTCTGCAGACCGGTGTGGCTGCAGAGCTGCAGTTTTGCTGCCGCGGCTCTGGTGCCTTTCGCTTCTTCCAAACCGTCTCCCTCTCCCCCACCCGCGTCACTCAGTCCGTTTGCTCAACTTTGCCTTGTTCAGGGCTCCTAGATGTTCATATAGAATCAAATCACTTGTTTTTCCAGGTCTTTGTTGTAAAGGAAGCGTCTAACTACTCCGCCATGTTGGCCACGCCCCCCCATGTGTTCTTTAAATACTGTGTTAAATTGAGTGTCATCAGAAATGTTAACAAGAGCATACCTCCTTTCATAATGTGCTTACTGTTCAACTGACGTGTTAAGTTTTCTTTCAGGAATATTAGTTCAGTGTACTTACTAATGATTTTTTTGTCAGTAATCTAAATTGTTTTCAACTTCTATATCAGATAGCTCGTAACTTCGTGTCCCTGATATGAAGTCTTTCTTATTTCTTACTTTCAAAAGGAAATACATGATCTATATATATAGATATGGAGTCCCTGAGTGGTGCAGTTAAGTGCTTGGCTACTAATCAAAAGGTTGGCAGTTCGAATCCACCCAGAAGTGCCTCCAGAGAAAGTCCTGGCAGTCTGCTTTTGAAAGGCCACAGCTATTGAAAACCCTATGGAGCACAGTTCTACTCTGAAACATGGGGTTGCCATGAGTCAGACTTGACTTGACAGCCACTCGTTCGGTTCTTGGTTTATATATAGATATATTTTCATATAGCTATGCTTTAATATATAGTGTACTTTTCGTAATTTCATAGTATGGATTCATATTCTAGTATAACATTATTTAGGCAATCTAAACTTTACTGAAGTACTTTTATTATGAAATACATTTCAAGCATATACCAAAATAGTAGAATGAATCCTTATGTGCCCATCAACCAGCTTCATCTGCAAACCAACCTCTGCTCGTAATTATTTTTAAGCAAATCCCAGATATGTCATCACTTTATCTGAAAATATTTCAGTATGTAATTATAAAAGATAAAGACTCCCTTAAATATAACTGTAATACCATTTTAATACCTAAAAAATAAAAAGTAGTTTCTTCATATGTAGTTACTGTTCGCATTTTTTCTTAGAGTTGGTTTGTTCAGATCAGGATACATTGCACCTGGTTGATTTGCAACAGGTTGTCTTTCTTGTGATGTTGTCAGCCATTACCTAGATTTATTATTTCATTAGGGGTTGTAAATGGTGACATTCTTACTTAATTCTATAATTTCTTCTTCATTTATTAGTTTGAATAACTTGAAAAATTAAATGTACTTTTTGAAACATGGTATAGAGATGCTCTTTTCATTGTGATCATTTAAGTAAATGTTAAGACAGTAATAATATTAATGTCTAAATGTTGAATTTGAAACATCTCATGGTATCTGAGTAGGTTTCCTTGTGTGTAAACATAGGTTTTAAATCTTCTTAAGTAATGTTTTGATTTCATTCTGATTCTAATTTCTGTTAAGAAGTGCTAACTTATGCTAATTATAATACACGTTTTTATTTCACCTTTTAATAGGAACGAGGGGGAATAATGTCACTTACGGAGGTGTACTGTTTAGTAAACCGTGCTCGAGGAATGGAGGTAAGAATAGAACATGTAGACATTTTTTAACTAAAAATAGACTTTCTTGATACAATACAGATTCCCCTACAGTGAATACAATTTGAGGAAGGGGTGTGAGTATCAAAGCTATTTTGAGAAGCAGTGTAGTACAGTGAAAAAAATATGCCCTGGGATGCAGGAGGTAGATCCTGTTCCTGGTTTTGCCAGTGATTTGCTGAGTCTCCTTGAGCAGCTTACTTAACCTCTCCGGGACTCAGTTTTCCTACCTTTAAAAGAAGGGTTTGGACTGAGTGACAGCCTTTCCCTTCTGATATTCTGTGTTTGTGTTGTGAAGAGTAAGGTTGTGCACGAGGCCCTTTCTCTCTAATAGTTAACTGTAAAAGGAATTGACTCGATTGGACACAGATTGCCTTGTAGGTAATGCAGAGGGTGCGCCGCCGTGCTCTTCCGGCTTTGTATCAGCAGCCATTGTTTTTCAGCTCTCATCGCCCCTTTACACCCAGGTCTCCTTTGCCTCCAAGGTTCTGTCCAGATGCTCTTTGTGCCCTGGCAGTTAAAAGCAGTTTTGTGGTGTCAGCAGTCACCTCCATGCAGATGACTCACACGTGTGTCTTTCCAGCGTGCACCCCCACCTGAGTTAAGCCTCTGCTCTGTGCTGTTATTTGAGTTGTCATAATAACTGCTGTCAGGGAGTCCCATACTCTGCCAGGCACTCTGCCAAGCACCCAGTAACTCGGTGAGGTACTGTCCCCATTAGGGAGCTAATTTGAGGAAATTGAGATTTAGAAAGATTAGATAATGACAAAGCCCACACCAAGAGACAGGGATTTGGACCTAGGCTGGGCTGGCTCAGGAGCTGTGCCTTGTAACCCTCACGCCAGACTTCTTCTCCTGCGGCTCAGTTCTGAGTGCCCCGCCCCAGCTTGAGCCGAGTTTCTTGTTATACTGGATTGAATAGTGTCCACCTGAAACTTCAGAGTGGTACCTTGTTTGGAAATAGGGTCTTTGCAGGTATAATTGGTTCAGATGAGGTCATACCGGTGTCCTGTTAAGAAGAGGAGAAGAGACACAAAGACACACAGGGAGAAGGCCACGGATGACGGAGGCAGAGGCTGAAGTGACGCATCTATAAGCCTAGGAACGCCAAGGAGTGCCAGCAACCACCAGAAGTTAGAGACAGGCAAGGAAGGATTCTCCCCTAGAACCTTCAGAGGGAACATGGCCCTGCAGACACCTCAATTTCGGACTTTTGGCCTCCAGAACTGGGAGAGAATAAATTTCTGTTGTTTTCAGCCACTCGGTTTGTGGTAATTTGTTAACAGCGGCCATAGGAGAGTCATACACTCATTCTCCCCACCAAGCCTGCTCTTCGTATGGGCCCACCTTTCTCTCTCTGTCTTTCCTCTTAGAATCCCACAGTCACCCTCCCTTCTCCAGTGAATCTTACACTGCCATCGGATTGGTCTTCTTAAGGCGTAGTTCTAATTAGTCTCCCAAACTCTCAGTGGCTCTCTACTCGCCATAGAATAATTCCAGATCCTTTAATCTAGCCCTTTTTGCCTTCTATGATTGTCTTGTAACTTAGCCTTCTAAACTTTCTCTGTTACCTTGTGTTTCAGCCAGCTCAGCTACTTGTTATTAGTGATCCAGCCAGCTCAGCTACTTGTTATTAGTGATTCTGCACTTTCATACTTCCGTGCCTTTATTTGTATAACTCTTTTCTGCCTCAATGTCCTTTCCTCACATCTGTATCTCCAGATCTTAGGATCCAGCTGAAATGCCACCCCTTTTACAAAGCTTGTCTAGCTAGACTCAGATAGGGTCACTGTGAGTTGGAATCGACTCGACGGCAGTGTCTTTGGTCTGGCTAGAAATCCCCTCTCCCTCCTTGGAATGCCACTGCATGGTGTTGGTCTCTCACTTGGCCTCTTCCACCTTTTTTACCAGGCAGTATAGTTATAGGGTCGCTATGAGTCAGGATTAACTCGACGGCAGTGGGTTTTATAGTTATTAAGAAGGTCCCTGGGTAGCGCAAATAGTTTGCACTCAACTATTAACCTAAGAGTTGGCGGTTTCAAACTCGTGCAGCGGAGCCGTGGAAAAAAGGCCTGGTGATCTGCTTCCGTAAAGATTACAGCAAGAGTGCAGCTCTGCTCTGTAACGTGGGGTTGCCATGAGTTAATACCAACTCGATGGCAATGGGGTATAGGTATTAAAGTGTGTGTTTTCTTATTTCCCATGGTAAGCTGCTAGCTTCTTAAGGGGAGGATTCTGGTATGATTGATCTCTATAATCTACTGTATTTAGAATAATAGTTTGTAGCCCTCAAATGATTTATAAATAATTGTTGAATGATTGAATGACTCTCTTAACTATTTCATCCAAATGATTAAACTAAACATGCACATATGTGCACACACGTGTGTGTGTAAGAAAGTGTCAAACGTTGATTATTATGTGTGCAAGACATGTCATTTTTTCTTACTAGATTCAGCCTGAGAATGTGACATTTAGCAATGTGGCAATTCAACAGTTCTGTTAAGGCACATTTTGAATGCTACAGGATGTTGTTTATAAAGGCTTAGTTTGTTTAATCTTATCAGTTTGTTTAATCAGCCTGGGGCTTTTTAGCAATGTCTTCATCTCTTAACCCCAATATTAAAAAATATAAGGGAAATTAAAATAAAAATTTCATATACTCTCATATACTGTCTGTCCCTGTCCCCTCCCCATTATCTCCCATTAGCATCCTACGATACGGCCAACTCAGCCCACTTCAGTTTTACTCTCCAGCAACTAACCTAGTACCCGGTTAGTCACAGGGCTTAAGGAAATGAGATGGTTAATGTGGAGGTGAGGCATTTCCTGAGAGAGCTGCAGTGGGGTAGAGTTGGAAATAGCCCTGTTTTTGAATGCAAAGACTTGAGTTTCAATCCTAGTTTGTCAGTCTCTAACTTGAGTAAGCATGGTCCATTCCTTTGATCTGTGAGCTGTTTCCTCATGTGTGAAATGGGTAACAACAAAACTTTCCTTACATAGTTAAAGTACTTTTCCAAAACGACTTGGTGGCCAGGAAAGCAGAAACAAACGTTATTATTCCCGTGATAAAACCATCATTGTGATTATCGTCATCAGTGTATACTTAACTGTATGCCAGGCACTGTGTGGAACTCGCTTGTGTACACTGTCTCACTTAATTTTCCCAGTCACACTCAGAGCTGGGTGTTATTACTCCCTTTTTACAGATGAGGAAACCAGAGAGCAGACAGGTTAAGTAATTTTTTTAAGGGTCTAGAGCTAATAAGAGGTAGAGCCGGAGCATGCACCCAGTGTGCCTGTCATGACCACACAGCTGTCCCTCTGAGGCTGCTCTGTTGACATGGTCACTACTAGCTACATGTGGCGATTGCACACTTGAAATATCACTAATCCCAGTTCAGATGTGCTGTAAGTGTAAAGTATACACTAGATTTAGGATACTTAATATAAAAAAAAACCCAAAACCCACTGCCATCAGGTCCATTCCAACTTACAGCTACCCCATAGGGTTTCCAAGGCTGTAAATGTCTATGGAAGCAGACTGCCACATCTTTCTCCTGCGGAGCCGCTAGTGGTTTTGAACCACCAACCTTTTGTTAGCAGTTGATCGCTTTAACCACTGTGCCACCAGGGCTCCTAGTAAAGAAAAAGGAAAGGTAAAATACTTCCTTTAAATGGTTTTTTATAGTGATTACATGTTGAATTGATACTATTTTGGATCTGTTGGGTTAAATTATTTATATATATGTGTATGTGTATATATAAATTAATTTCACTTCTTTTTTAACTTTTTTAATGTGGCTACTAGAAAATTTAAAATCACATATGTGGCTTGCATAATATTTCTGTAGGATAGCACTGCTTTAATTAACGGAAGTCTTGTGCTCCTTTGTTAATCCTTTTTGCCTTGTGATTAAGCCAGCTAAAATTCTTGGTAAGTGGTAATGTTTTGAGTTCCTCTGTTTTTGTGATCATTACAGTTATATAGCATCAGTCTATTAATTTGCAGTGTAAACTGGATTTTTTCCCCATTAGTTGCTCTCACCAGAAGATTTAGTGAATGCATGCAAGATGCTGGATGCGCTGAAATTACCTCTCAGGTAAAGGACCCTCCGCAGGGTGTTTGCCGGCTGTCACCACGATTGTGCACAGGGTGGACAGAAAAGCCCCACCAGGTCTGCTGTCCTGTGTGCTGAGCTGAGAGATTGCCCTTTTGTCATTCTGCGGGTGGTCACTGTTCAGGCTTCCATTGTTCTCAGAGCTGTGTGTGTCATAGGGGCTAGTCATCAGACCTAGTCGATTTGGGGCAGTCGGATGAGAGTGTGGGCTCCTCCTGTGAGGTCAGAATAATCAGCCCTCTTTCTTTACGCATTTCATAGTCAGGGTCTGGAGACTTAAAGGTGTGAATATTCAGCTGTGGATTGTATTTTTCTTATCCTCAGGTAAAAAAAAAAATATATAGCCAGACATATTTTATTTAGCATATAGACTCTAGTTCTTAATTTTACTATTTACTCATGTGTTTTAAAATTATGCCATAGTTGCTTGTGGTCATTATGATTTAAATGTTTTTTGTTAATACTGCTCTCATACCTGGGCATAAGAGAAAGTGGGGAGTATTTACTTCACCTTAGTGGCTGGAGGCTGTAGTTGCTTCATTGCTTGCTCTCCCATCTGTATTTCAGGCTCCGAGTCTTTGACAGTGGTGTCATGGTGATTGAGCTTCAGTCCCACAAGGAAGAGGAAATGTTGGCCTCGGCCCTAGAGACGGTATGTGAGCCCAGCTTCCTCCAGTCATTAGAGCTTACCACGAAGACTTGAATGCTTAGCAACTTGAGGAACAGGATTTCCTTTTGAATTTAACTTTACTAAAAAGTAATGTTCACACACCCAATTAAAAATGGTTTACCGTTAACAATGAATAAGTATTTATCAAAATTATCATACTTTAAAAGCGCTTTTGAAACTTCTATTTATTGACACTCTTGTTAGTAGCCATCAGGTCTGCTCTGACTCATGGTGACCTTACATATAACAGAATGAAACATGCCCAGTCCTGCACCATCCTCTTAAAATGTCATAAATAAGGAGAATTAGAATTAGTAAGTTTCAGTTGAAGCTTAGTATTGAGAACAGGTTTTTAACTTTTTAAATCAGGATATTACACATAAATGAACTTTTTATTTCAGTAATACTTATTACATAAGTAGCATTATAAAGCATCACAAGTTGTTTTATAAAATAATTGTTTCAAAAAATATGAAAAACAACATTTTACTGGCAAAATTGCTGATATTACTCATTAGGATACTTGAAATATTACTGCCTTCATAGTCTCTATAGGGAGCCTGTATAATCTGAATAACTCATATTTATTATACTTCTTATTTTAAACTAGGTGAAAACCCCAAGACTTTAGATATTTCTACCACATATTTTAAACTAAACCTATGTGTGAGGTTCTTTCACAGGACATGTCATATGCCCTGAATTAGAATTTGTTATATGTTCCTTTTCAGATACAGAATAGTTCTTTTTAAGCTTAGTTATTGTTATTAGGTGCCGTTTAGTCGATTTTCAACTCTTAGTAAAACTCCATGTGACAGAGTAGGACTGTCGCATAGGGTTTCCTAGGCTGTTGTCTTTATAGGAGCAGATCACCAGGTCTTCTCTCCTGCGGAGCCACTCGTGGGTTTGAACCACCGACCTTTTGGTTAGCATCCAAGTGCTTAACCACTGTGCTACCCAGACTCCTTTTTAAGCTCTAGTGTAGTGCACTGGATACATTATAGAGGGCTTTATCTTGATATTTTAGCTTCTACTATATTTGTTCTGGAAACCCTGGTGGTGTAGTGGTTAAGAGTTCGGTGGCTAACCAAAAGGTCCCCTGTTGGAATTCACCAGGTGCTCCTTGGAAACCCTATGGAGCAGTTCTGCTCTGTCCTATAGGGTCACTATGAGGCAGAATTGACTTGGCGACAATGGGTTTGGTTTTTTTTTTTTTTTTTGGTTATATTTGTTTGAATCTTTAAATTTTGGTGAATTAAACATTAGTGAAGAAGTTTTAGTTCTGTATTTTAGTAGAAATTTTCAGAAAATTATTTCCTAAGTATACTGGTAGACATTCCCTGGGTTAGTACCCACATGTCCTAAACTGTCACATTTTTCTGCTGTGTTAGGTTTCAGAAAAAGGATCCTTAACATCAGAAGAGTTTGCCAAGCTTGTGGGAATGTCTGTCCTTCTTGCCAAAGAAAGGTAAATAGTACCTTGTGCTTCATTACCACTGTGTTTACATTTCTGAATGGACAGATAAGTATTAATGGTTTTTTTTTCCCCTTTGTTCCTAGGTTGCTTCTTGCAGAGAAGATGGGCCATCTTTGCCGAGATGACTCAGTGGAAGGCTTGCGGTTTTATCCAAATTTATTTATGACACAGAGCTAAGAGTTTTGTATTTGGAATACTTTTTGTCCATATACTTACATCATGTAGAGGTTGTAGGACATTGAGCTAAGAGATGGACCCTGATACACTGAGAATTTACTGGAATTTTGCCATATAATATAAAACTTTTAATTTAATCCTAAATATTATGGTCCAGGAAGCTCATTTAGGATAAATATAGAAAAACACAGAAAAATGAATGCCAGTGTGAATTTAAAATCATATTGTTTAAAACCCATGTTTAACTTGAAATATGGTGGATTTCTAACCATTTTCAAAGAAGGGAATTTAGTTCATGGGGGAAGAAAAAGAGAAGCTGCATGTTTGGACAGGTTACATAATTATTCTGGTGTGACTAAAATTCCATGAATTATAAATGAAGTTTTTCTCTGTGTCTAGTGTTCCCACTTGGGGGTCTTCATGAAGCAGGTCCTGTCGACAGTGCAGTTTTAAGAACACTGGAACAAAATGTCAAACTTGATAATGTGGCAGCAGGCTCCTCCTAAGGGCTTTAGAAGCAGTCACAGGCATGTCTTCAGACCAAATAAAGCACCATTTAAGAGGGAGACTTTTATTTGATTTGTGTGTGTATAATATGACATTTCTTTTTTTTTTAAAGAGGTGATTTCATGGTTGGCATTTAAAGAATGCAGCTATGTCATTTTGTTTCGAAAATGCTGTGGGCTTTGAACCTGAATTAAAGAGCTGTGTAGACATGCCCAGAGATAGGATTACAAATTTGGGAGATAGACTGCCCAGGCATTCGCTAAGATTATTGTGTAGGTGGAGGGGCGGAGGAACCTAGTGCTGTTTAACCTGGAAGCTGAGGATGAGAAAGTAGAAAGTAGAAAAGTTTCATATGTCTCCTTTTTCTTCTTAAAGGAGTTTCACTACTGAACTTTTAAAAATCTTTCATATGCCAACAATATTTTTCTTTTATTCTTTGTCTTGCATGTTGTAAACTGTGTAGAGAAGCTATGTTGACAAAAAGTATTGCAGAGGTAACAAAAACTGGCTGATACTGAATTTAGGTGGCCTGAGTTTACATTACCTGAAACTCAGGGACCCCCTTAGGACAGAAGGCAGGCCTCCTTTCTGAGACTGAGTTGGAAGTGGAAGCGTAGTGATGGCTTAGTTCTGTCCAAACCTCCAGAAAGGTAGCATGCGTAGTTATGCAATATGGATAGTACTTGTATTGAGAGAACCACTGGGACTAGGAAGAGAGACACCCAGGTTCACACTCTCGAATTCCTAAGTGAGGTGGAGGGCCACCACCAGAGGCTGCTACAAACGCCCTTTTGGGAACTTACAGGGATCCTCAGCTGCAGACCCAGGGAATCCCTCCCAGTGCAGCCCAAGTCAATCCCTGATCCTTACTTGAAAAGTGACTGTCACCGCTTCATGTCTTCCAGTGTCAGCAGGAATGTTGTGGCCATGGCATTTTGCTATAGGCTTAGTTTGTCAGACCTGTCACTGATTATTCATTGTGGTGACAGATACCCTAATTTCCCCCCAAGGCACAGCCTCAAGTTTGTTTTGAGGTAATTCAGTGTGTGCCTGCCCAAGTCTTAGGTGGACTATTGAGTAAGCTTGTGGTATATGTCACTCCTCTCTTTGGGCATCACTCGCTATCTTACATACACACACACACACACACCGTATCTCATCTGGCTCAGGTTTTTAAAAATTACAAAGATAAGTAATAATCTGTTTTACCAGTTGGAATGAATTGCAAGTAAAGTTGTTTGAGCTATTGGATCTAGCTCTATTGGTTTGGATTTGTTACAGCAAATCCACATAATTCAACATGTTTATGTATTTATTTACTTTTGTGTGGCAACAGATTAACAAAAATGATGCAATCATAATTGTATAAAGTGAAGTAAAGAAGAAAAGTGACATGAATATATTTTGCAAATGTCACGATAACTAAATAAACAAGTATGATTGAGTTTATTATTTTATTTTGAAAATGGGCATTCTTTACTGTTTCCAGAGCTCTTTATGTATTTTAGTGTCCTCTCCTCCCAAGTAAGGTGATATTTTGGTCCTACTGTTGATAGAGGTTATGTTTAAGTACAACCAATCAGGCCCTAAGTGCAAAAAAAGTTCTGTCTTGGTGCTTATTCTTGGTATAATTATTATTTTTGCTTTCCTGTCTTTGCTCTTAAGCACATAAATCTGTTTCTAGCTTTATGGTAATGGAATATTTCTAGTCGCTTATTGACAAAATTTTTTTACATTGTATAAGATTGTTTTCAGGGTTAAATGATTGATACTCATATATATATTAAACTTACTGCAAAATTAAAAAATGATTTTTCTTGATGTTCTTTTAAATGTTCTTTAAAAAAATATGAAATTGATAAACCTCAAAGTCAGAATAAACCAGTACGGTAAGGGTTTTTTTTAAAGACTTTATAATCAAGAATCAATTATAAATATATTTATGACATCAAGCTCTTACTATTTTAGTTATCTTAAAAGCATGGGAGGTGGCTTGTGAACCACTTTCTAAATTCTTGATGTGAATTCCACTGTTGACGGAGCATGTATGACCATTTGTGTGGATGTGCTCTCTTGTTCCCTGTTTGTTGCCAGACTGATCTGACCAGAACTTGGATTCATCATTCTCATGCTCAGATACTTAATTTGGTTCTCTTTACAGTGCAGTCACAACTTATAATGTGGTTAGGTTGTAAGGACTATGCCTAAGGACAAAATCAAGGACATGCTCAAAATCATCCTTGGAAATCTTTTAAATTGCCAATAAAGTTTAATACACATAGTCTTGTGATGATATCCTTTGTAGAGTGATATGTGGGTATGATTATATTATGAATATAGTAAGTACAATACATAATAAAAACTATCAACAGTAGACTTTTAATAGCATTAATAATTAAACTATTTAAATAATTACACAATTTAAATGTGTTGTCCTTTTTTTTTTTTTTGCCAATAGGTATAAATAGGTAAATTTATTGCTAATCTCATTCCTTTGTGTCCTAATAACCATGAGTCAGGTTTAACTTTTATTTACCTAGGGAAAAAAAGGATCTCCCCATTTGTATAAATGGAATTATTGAGATAATGTATAAATTTTACACAATTTGCACAAGATCACTAGATCAGACACTGACCCAGAAAGAACTCAAGTTATGTCGACAGCCAACTTAGTTTTAGTCAATACTGACAAGACCATACATACCACACTGTTCCATTAGAAGCTTTTTGTTTTTCCCCTTTCACTCTTAAATTGCCTTCCTTTTGTAAAGAAACTATATCTTAACTGTCTATTAAAGACAGTAATGCAGTTTGGCAAGTATACCAATTTAAACAAAAATGAGCAAGCATCTCAAACTGTCATTAAAAAAATGACCAAGTGTATTTATTCAGCCCCTTGTACTTAGATTTTGCTCCTCCACCCCTCAGGAGTGTGTGTATGAAGGATTAAAGTTGCTTCCTATACATTGTCAATCACCACAAAACTTCAGTGTAACTTATGCCTTTTACAGTGGAGGAAGGAGAGATTAGAGAGTCAGGGCTAGAATTTAAACTGAGATACCGCTGCTAACCAAAAGGTCGGTAGTTCCAATCCACCAGCTGCTCCTTGGAAACCCTATGGGGCAGTTCTACTCTGTCCTATAGGGTCGCTATGAGTTGGCATCGACTCTACGGTGATGGGTTTTGTTTTTGTTTCATTTTTTATATAACTCCAAAGCCCGCTCTTGCCACTAAACTTTTGCTTTCAAAACTGAAAATGTCAGGGACTGTGGCATGTATTTGAAAAGGAATCCCAGCTTGAGTTGATGAATGGATATTGAACTAGATAATGATTATAAAATTGATAACAGTTTTCCCAATTAAGTTCTACTGGTAGTTAAATTGATGACCTTAACGCCTTACTTAAAACTTTGGATGGATTTAATCAGTACTACTAATACTGTATTGGAGCCCTGGTGGCATAGTGGTTAAGAGCTCTGCTGCTAACCAAAAGGTTGGCAGTTCCAATGCACCAGATGCTCCTTGGAAACCCTATGGGGCAGTTCTGCTCTCTCCTATAGGGTCACTATAAGTGGGAACAGTCTTGACGGCACCTAACAACAACAGTACTGTATTAATTGAGAAAATTTGGTACTTCTGATATCATACAATAGTTGTATGTCTTTTAAAAGTTGAAGTGATAGATTCAAGAACCTGCAAATGGTGTATTTTTTAAAGTTAAAAATTGAGGTAAAATTTACAGTAAATGCACAGATATCAGTTGGATGAGTTTTGGCAAATGTATAGACTCATGTTACTCAGACCTCCAATCAATACAACCAATTTTTCAACCCCACTAAGTACCCTCTTGCCTCTTTCCAATCATGTACTCACCAGGGGCCACCACTGTGCTCTGATTTCTATCACTATAGATTAGTTGTGTCAAAGGGTATCTTGTGTCAAAGAAAAGCAAGTAAATGGTAAACGACAGTGTGCTCAAAAACAAGTATAGCTGTTAAAGTGGAACTCTATCCTTTCATACTTAAGACAGCTTTAACACTTGCAGAGTATATATATTTTAAATGTTTGGTTATTTTGAGGGTCCCTGGGTGGCACAAATGGTTAAGCTCTAGCCAACTATTAGCTGATAGGTTGGCGGTTCCAACCCACCCAGAGGCACCTCGAAAGACGATCTGCTTGGTAAGGTTACAACCTTGAAAACTACTGGAGCAGTTCTATTCTGCACACATGGGGTCACAGTAAGTCCCCATCGACTCAACCACAAGTAACAAGTTATTTTTAATTAAATAACCAAATCTGGCTCCAGGTAAAGAAAAATGAAGATGCACTTTACCTGAGCTATTTTCCTTTGAAACTCTTAAATGACATTTGGGAAACCAAGTTTACAGCCCACACATTATGCCATTTCAATGACTGATTTTTGTGGTCTTCCCGAAGAAATGACTGGGGGAGAAGAGACTGGGTTTGAAATACCAGGAGCCACTGTTAGCGCCCCTTAAAGCCCCGGATACCGGTGCCTGCGTGTGAGGAGAAGGGTCCGTCTGCGGGGCTGTCCTCCTCTTGGCCGGCTCTCGGGTCGCGCCATGTTTCCTGCCGGCTTCCTGTCCCACGGCTGTCGAGCCCAGCCAGGCGGGAAAGGACGCGCTGCCCACAGGGTCTGGCGGGCCGACCTCGCCGCAGGCCGCAGCGCCCCCGCCCTCCCCGCGCCCTCGGGGGCGGGCCCGGGCGGGGCAGCGGGAGGCGGGGCGGCCGCGGGCGCGCAGTCCGGGCCTGCGGGATGTTCGGCGCGTTGCCTCGCAGCCCCTGAGGACTCTGCCCTCCGCCGCGCGCTGCCAGCTTCGCCAGCCTCGTCCTCCTCGCGCGCCCCGTGCGCCCTCCGGTCCCGAGAGGTAAGAGGCGCTCTGCCGGATCCTGCCCCCTCCTGCAGCCTGCAGGCACCGGGTGGAGGGTGGCATTCCTGCGGCGCGCCCAGCCTTTCCCCCGCTCCTAGGGGACAAGCTCAAAAAGTTGTCGGTGTCCACGTCCCGGAATCCCGGCTTTCACCTGAGCCCGGCTTTCCTTTCGCGCAGGTTTTGCCGAGTGAGTGGGCTGACGCAAGAGGGGTGTTGAGTGAGAATTGCTGGGGTGCTTGAAAAACCGCGTTTCAGGGATACTAAGCGATTCAGAATACATTTGCTTTCTTCTATAAACATCCTCTGTGAAAGGCTTTCATCTCAAACGGTACTTATTTTAAGGTCTTTTTACTGACGACTTGGGCCAGGCTGTATTTCCGAGCATGAACCTGACTTGCCGGCCTTTCGAAGGCGGAGGAGATGAGGCGCGCGCTCAACTTCCCAGGGAAGCGGCACCGAACCCGGGGACCAGGGCGAGCAAATTCGACGGGGTATAGACATAAAGGCTTTTTTGGAATAGGAGTTGCCTCCTCCCAGTAAATATTATTTATATATATACACACACGAGCATGTGCATGTTTGTCAAAAGGGACAAAATCACTTTGCTTTTTAATTTTTTCCGCTTTTTGGCAAGTCATTCGTCCCATGGACATTAACGTGGGGCATAGCGAAGCATTTAACTGATTTCAGCAAAAATGTGGGATCTGAGCCGAGTGTGATGCAGTTAGCCATTGACAGTATTCAAACGTCCCCTCATGCTCTCAGCTGACACATTTAGAATTTTTCTATAAATGTTTATGCGTATGAATTCTGTAGAGAAATAATTTGTGTACAGAATATACCTAAGTTCCTATTCTCTTAAAACGATTCCCAAGCCAGACGTTATAACTGTCCAGTTGCGGTATCGGGAACAAATTAAATAAAGTAAGCAAAGTTGAAAAAAAAAAAGATTAAAGAGGCATGGCGCAGTGGTTAAGCGTTTGTTTGCTAACCAAAACGTCGGCAGTTGGAATCCACCAGCCGCTGCTTGGAAACACTATGGAGCAGTCCTACTCTGTACTATAGGGTCGCTATGAGTTGGAATCGACTCGACGGCAACGGGTGGGTTTTTTTTGCCGGGGGGGGGGGCGGTAAAAAAAAAAAAGGTAATGCTGTTTACCCAGCATTTCATTCCATTCTGGGGGTGCTCTCCTAACTTCTTCAAATTGGTGTTTGAGCTAGTTAAGATTCCGCATGTATGTTTGAAAGCCTGAAAACATTTTTTTTTAATTCATATTTTACTTTATAGATGGAAGGTTGGTTTATTTTATTATTCCATTTCCATTCAGTTTTAAAGTACTGTAAACATAGATTATCACACAATTTTGTGTTCTAATGGTCATTTTCATACTGAAGGAAAATGTGTTATAACCACACAATCAGTTATGATTAGAGGCTTCTTTAAAAAGTGGTTATCATGAGGCAGCAAGCAATTTGGGAGAAGCCAGTTCAGCTTTAGAATTAGAGATGGCTTGCTTCTTTTCCGTATTTTGGTTACTGAGTATCCGTGACTGTAAAGGAAGCATTTTAATTGCTCTAGGTGCCCATACTTGCCCCAGAGATATGATGATGTTTTCTGCAAAGACCTCACCTGTGTACTCACCTGTACTCAGTCTTTGCCTCGGTTTCCCTATCCATGTTCAAGGAAAGGAGTGGTTCTAACTATGGCTAATTCCAGCAAAGCTGAATTTGTGTGTGTCTGAGTGTGAATGTGAGTCAGTAATGTTGGGAGGGCACTAATCATCTGCCTAATTGCACTTCAGATCTCTGCTTCCCCTTGAGGAAGTACAGTATTTCCTTTGTTGAGTCAACTCTTATTGAAAGAAAGCTAGTAGAGAAACACCAGTTTCCTTTTCATTGAATTTTGGATTATTTCAGTCATTCCTCTTAATTCCATTAATTTCTTCTTATCTGAAGGGATGTAACATACATATATTTAGAAAATAATACTTATTGAAAATATATGAACTCTGGATAATAGGAATATAAACATTAAGAAAATATATATTTGGTTATGTTTAGTAGCCTGTAGTCTACTAGACACTAATATGAAAAAAACTGGCTTAAATACCCTGCATTTTATTCTACAGGCTAATAGATTGTTTGTATCAAATAAGCGCCTGTCACCAAAAATCACTCTGAATCACAGGTTACCAAGGTCTTCCCTGCCTACCTAGGTGGTCTGAGAAAATTGCTGCATGAGTCATCTATCTTCCTGTGCACACCAGCAGCAGCAGGTATTGGATAACTGACAAAAGATGAAAATTATTATTTATCTGTCTTTTCTTTAGACTATCCTAAAGAAGGGAACCAGGACCATATGGAGTTCACATTTAATTGTAATGCTCTGGTATTTCGTTCTTTTTTTTTATCTTAAGGTTTGATAATTTTGATGTAGGCTTGATGAAACAGTGCAGATAATACACCAATTTTGCAGGGAAGACTTAGTGTAACAAGCCT